AAAGATGGAGAAATCCTCTATCTATATCTGGGAATTTCAGATGAAGCCATTAGTTCGGTTCTGGTAAGAGAAGAAGCCAAGCAGCAGAAACCAGTATATTATATCAGCAGTGTGCTGCATGGAGCCGAGCTGAGGTATCCCATAGCTGAGAAAGCAGCCTTAGCAGTTGTCACTTCGGCTAGAAAGTTGAGGCCATATTTCCAGTCACACCCGATCATTATTCTTACAGACCAACCCCTTCGGCAGATTCTATAAAAGCCTGAGTGTTCTGGAAGATTAATTAAGTGGGCAGTAGAACTGGGGGAATTTGAGATAACATTTCAGTAAAGATCTGCAATTCGAGCTCAGGCATTGGCAGATTTTATTGTAGAGTGCACCCCAGGTAATTCCGTTCCTACTCTGGAGCCCAATGACTGGACCTTATATGTTGATGGGGCATCTAGTAGCAAAGGTTCAGGAGCTGGTGCTCTCTTGATCGGCCCAGATGGATACTGAAACGAACATGCTTTGAAATTTAACTTCGATGCAACAAACAACATGGATGAGTATGAGGCCCTGCTACTTGGTCTGCAGCTAGCATTGGAATTAAAACTCAGTACGATCCAAGTATACAGTGACTCCCAGCTGGTGGTGAACCAAATTAACTCAATCTGCGAAGTTGTTGATCTTGTGATGGTGAAATATGTAGCTCTGGTGGTCGAGCTGAAGTGCAAATTCCAGAAATTCTGTCTGAGCAAAATCCCCCGAACTGAGAATGAACAGGCAGATTCACTCTCTAAATTCGCCTCTGATAGTTCTTCACATTCCAGATCAGTTTTTGTGGAGGTCATAGATGAACCAAGCTTCGTGAAGCCACGGGTGATGGAGATCAGCACCGACCCAAGCACACCGAGCTGGACTGACCCAATCCTCTCCTTCTTACGAGATGGGATAGTACCTGAGGACAGGCATGAGGCAATGAAGTTAAGGAGGAAAGCATCCCGGTATACACTTGTTGATGGGGTTCTCTATGCACTCAGGGAGGTGCATGAAGGTATCTGCGGAAGTCACGTGGGTGCTCGAACCTTGGCTCATAAAGTCCTTAGACAGGGTTATTATTGGCCTAACATGTACAAGGATGCCACTCACTTTGTTCAGAGATGCTTGAAATGCCAGTTCTTTGTGCACCTGACTCACCAACCTGCAGAAGAGCTCACTACTCTGGTAGCACCATGGCCATTTGCTCAGTGGGGATTGGATCTTTTGGGACCATTCATGAAAGGGGTTGGTGGTGTAACCCACTTGATTGTTGGTGTAGATTATTTCACTAAGTGGGTTGAAGCTCGGTCGTTATCCAGTCTTACTTCCAAAAAGGTTGAAGACTTTGTTTTAGAAGGCAGGGGCACGAACTCCACCACTTCGTCCCCCCTGGTTCCTAGCTCTGCCACCCTCCTCTTCTTCATCTAGAGAGGTGCCGTCTCCTCACTAACATCCTCACTACCCCCCATCATAGGCTCCGGCCTTGGCTGCACCTCCATAGCCTGGGCAGAGATGCTGGACAGTCACCCCCCCTTTGTCACCTCCTTCTCAGCCGCAGTTGAAGTCTTTGACTTCTTCCTTGGCTTCTTGGGGATGTGCAGGCCCCCAGCAGCAGTGACGAACTCGTCCATCTCAGCTGCAAAACAAACATCAATGTCAGAACACATCAGTTAAGCTCTCACCAAAATTGCACTTTAAAAACATCCACCAACCTTCCCCCAATGAGCTTGGCCCATAGAGCTCAGCAGCATCTATCGCCTCCGAGCTGGTGAGGAACAAGATATCCACTACGTCCCCATCTTCCCTTACCAGCTTCTTCACCTCCTCCACCTCATCCTCATTCAACTTATAGTTGTTCTGCTTGGTTTTCTTCGCTTTCCAAGCAGACAACTGTTCCACTTCGGCATCCCTCCTACTCCACTCGGTGTCATCCACAAAGAAGAAATTTTCTTTCCATCCTTTGATGGATGACAGCCCAGGAGAGAATAAATTCCTATTCTCTTTGTTGGACGACCGAGGACCGAAGTGATACCACCCCTTCTCCCCCCTACCCCCAGCCTTAATTATAAAAAAATGTTTGAACATATTTACTGTTGGAAACCCAACCCCCCGAACTCTGCAGTATACAAGAAAACCTATTATTACCCTCATGGCATTTGGGGTTAGCTGAGTTATTCCTATACTATAATCTAATAATAGCCCAACCAGTAATTCTGGAATGGGAAACATAAGCCCTGCAATCAAATAATGCAGGTATACGGGCATCCAATGGTCTCGGGGTGCTAAGCATGCCCTCTCATTCACCCCGGCCGGTCGGATTAGGACATGGTGAGGAAGGTTACAGTTCCCCACTAACCCCCTAAAGCTACTCCTACTACCTAATTCGCTCACATGCCCCCTCACCTCAGACACTATCTCTAAGTCCGGGTCATAGCACCCATCTATGCCATCCCCAGATTCCAACACGTTTGAGGGGATCTCCTCTTCCTCCTCCTCTACTACTACTTCTTCCCTCCTCGCCTCCACCGTCCTCTTCGAACTAGTTGGAGACGGACTGCTCTCCATATCCATCCTACCGTAATTCAGGGGCATCACTTCACTCCCCACTACACTCCTGGCCTCTTCTGAAGACATCGTAATTTCTGCATAAAGGGGGAGGAGGAACGGTGTCAGGACCCTTAACAATTCCAGCACACTCAACACATTCTCACTGAACGGTGTCAGGACCCTTAACAATTCTAGCACACTCAACACATTCTCACTCCCAACCCTAATTCCCTCCAAAAAACCCAAAATCAACCACAGAAAGGGAGAAAGTAGAGCACCACTTCGACAAAATCAAAATAAAAAATTCATAAACTTTACCTAATTTTGGTCTCGGAAACTGTCGTTGAAGTCGGGATTGAAGCGCAAACTGCACGAAACTGCAGAAATTTAGTAG